AAGGTTCACCGACAATATTCTTTTGTGTGTGAATGAACCTCATCCTCAGTACATTGCGTCTCTCTGCCCACCCGTGAAAACGTAGCTCTAGCAGTTTCCTGAGCCATGACAGTCTGTCCTGCAATCATCCGGCTCCAAGTCTTAAAGGAGCTCCATGGTGCCTGACATCCAACCTTCTTCTTGCGCGTCTATCGAACACCCCCCACTTAAGTTTGAAGTTTCCACATCTCCACTATCCTAGCCAGATTTTACAGAAACAGTGATTGAATCCGTCCCTGTGAGCGGTACGTGTTCATCAATTATCTATCTTCTGCTTTCTCTCGTCCCTATGGTGTACAGTAGAAGCCTTGCCTATGATGGAACTTGCCTGACATGCGCTGGAGAATCTGAGATATTGCAGCATCTCTTTTGGCCCTTACACTGACACATCCTTTCCTAGACACCTAGACACACCTAGTCTGTGTTTGCTTTTACCATCCCCGCCTCTCACGACAGGAACTTGATTGGCGTGTCAAAAACAACCGTCAATTTATCTAAAGACCGTCCAAATTAAGCAAGGAAGAGAAATAACACTTCAACCGTGGTTGGGTGTGGAGTATTGGGATTAGTTTTGCCTATCTACGAGTTTTTCTACCTGCTCTGGAATTCCATATTGTCACTGAATATCACCCGCCTACAAATCCCCTTGTTGTTATATCGACACAAATACCTGCTGTAACAAGTGTTTCCCGGTTTTCGATATCCGGTTTGAAATGTCCGAGTCGATATCCCCAACCACCTCGCCGGGCACTGGTTTGCAAGCCTTGGGATCTGATGACACTGTGCAATCCCACCAAGGCGATTCCAGTGCTTCTACTTCGGATGGGTCGAGTGCCGTGGCGGCTGAGATTCTCCGTCGACGGTCGATCCAGTTCAACGTTCCAACTGCTACCGCCGAGTTATCAAGAAAACGGGCAGAGAGCACGAGAAGTTTGACCCACCGCGGTAGTCTCGGCAGAATCCCCTCCCCTCCCCCGCCCAGGTCAGTTTCATCTCTTGGTTACTTGTCAATTTTTGGGTTTCCTTTCGCCATTCTTTCTCTACTTTCTCTCCACATGGTGTGCTATTTCATTTTCTCCCTGTGGCTTATGAGCTGTTGCTGGGCTGAGTTTTAACTCAACACCACGCATCATAATTCGCTTATGTCTCAAGCCTGCCCCACCACCTGTGAACCAACCTGTGGCTGCGCCTCTTTCAAATATCCTGCAAGACACTGCAGAAATGGTCTCAAATCACCCTTCACAAATTACACAATAATAACTGCAGCATGCATTATCGATCCCACTCAGACAGCCATTGTCAATACCATTCGAACATTACACTAACAGCTTCTCTCGATTCCAGTGCCTACAATCGCGGCGTCTCCTTCGACACCTTCGACAACCGTGACGCCACTGATTTCTCATTAACGCTCAATTACAAACACAAAGACTATCAGGCCACCCGGCGCAGTCGAACTTTTCTTTGCGGTACTGATCAGAACGAATATTCCGACTTTGCACTCGAATGGCTGATTGATGAACTTGTCGACGATGGGGATGAGATTGTCTGTTTACGGGTCGTTGAGAAAGACTCGAAGATTGCTAGTGATGCAAGCGTTGAGGAGAGGAAGTATAGACAGGAGGCACAAAAGTTGCTTGATCAAGTGATTGCCAAGAATAGCCAGGACGAGAAAGCTATTAGCTTGGTTATGGAGTTGGCTGTTGGCAAAGTACAGGAGATTATACAACGAATGGTATGGGTCCCATTGTTTACCGTTTTTTTTTTATTATCTCTCTGCTTTCTCCTTTGGGATCCGTTTCTGATCTTCATACTATATCCAAGATCCAAATCTATGAGCCCTCCGTGCTTATCGTTGGAACCCGTGGACGCAGTCTAGGTGGTATGCAAGTCCTCCTCCCTGGCTCGGTCTCAAAATACTGTCTCCAACAATCTCCCATCCCCGTCATCGTCGTTCGCCCCACCGCGAAACGCGAGAAGAAGAAACAAAAGCGTCTTGCGAATCCCTCACGACAACGCTATAACCACCTCCTCCGTCTGGGCGACATGAAAAGCGGTCGTGTATTCGACACATCTCACAGCGCTAACAATAGCGTGATGAAGTTACCAGAGGAGGGTGCTCAGGCTGCTGGAACGCGCCCTGATGGGGAACAAGAATATCGAAACCATCACCTATCGTTTTCGAAGGATACGGCGTTGACGAAGAGTACTGATGACGTCGATGATGATGATGAGGGGAGGAGTGAGAGTCGACGGAGTTCCAGTGTCCTTGATTCGAAAGTATCTGGATCTGGATCTGAATTGTCTCCTGGAATGACGGAGGCGGGTATGCGGGATATTGAGAGTCCTGCTGTTACTGATGGCGAGAACGAAGACGACCGTGAACATGAGCATGGACATGATGATGATGGTGGTGCTCTGGAACGGGAACGGACGGCGCATGATTCGACGCCAACTCCTCCTGATGGGCGTCGTTCCGAGGATGCGAATGCGAATGTGCAAGCACCCAAGACTCCTCTTGCTCCCATTACTAATGTCAATGTGAGGGAATAGTCGCCGAATGTTGACGAGCCGCACTGATGTGTGATGATATACGAACGTTTTGTTCGTTCGTTCTTACGCATGGGAAGGGCGTGGATTGATTTGTTGATTTTTCGATGGGGGTATATCAATAGACTATTAATTAAGCTGGTTGTGGTCTCGTTTTTCTTTGTATATCGAATTGTGGATTGGATTCGGGAAGTCTGGGTGTACTCTCCTTTCAGTTGTTGCTTTTATACGCCCTTGCTCCGTTTTTCCCCCCTTGGGAGTTGTTTATTCTTTATCGTTTCTTCTTTTAACTTTCCCCGTTTCTCCGCTAATCGGATTAAGGATGCCGTTTTTGGACTCCCAATCCAGCATTGTTTGCTCAACCCTACTCGTAATTCCCCTACAGCAAAATTTAAAACCTTTGATACCTCGAAGATTGAAAAGAGAAATACTTTTTTTCTCTTCATCTTTTTGTATATATATATATATATATAATTACCATTTTGAGTCCGTCTTATTTGACGGACATGTTGTTTTGCCTGTCTTTGCTCATCTGTGAGGATACGGAAAAGTAATAATACATACTTTAAAAACAAACCTTTCCTCCCCATCTAAATGAGGTTTATTTCACTTAAACAGAAACACTACGGAGTCCATGGTTAACAACATTATCCTGCATGCATGTAAAACTTACAATGTGAAGTTGAACTAGAGCCAGAGAAAAGAGCCATGAGGCTGCCTGACAATTTGCTGTAATTATGGAGCCAAATTTTGCTGTTCGATTGGTCTAACCCGAACAGGCATGGTTTGAGATTCCAACGGCTGCAAGATTGAACCTTAAATAGCTCCACGTGACAATAGTTTTTGATATCCGCTAATTAGTCCCAAACAGGTTACTGCACGCAGAATAAGCTTTATCTTCGGTCCCCAACCAGCAATCAACAACCGACGACGACGACAACGACGACGACAATTGATCTCAACTGCCTAACCAGCACTCCTCATTTTATCGATTTAAACCCTGTTATATGTGTGTCAAATACCCTCCGTAATCATTTTAGCTGTCTTTCTTCTATCAATCCTTTGCCCGCTATCTCGCTAGGTTAACATCGAAGCTCTATCAGCGTAGCTCAAGCTACCATCGTCTCGAGCTCCCGGTAGTTATATTGGTCTGCTAGATCCTCTGAAGCGTCAATCTTCTCATATATTTTGATCTATCTTTATATATTCAGCATCGTTATATGTCCCCACCATACTCTCCGTGACTGGCGTTATATCGTGCTATCTAGCAGTGAACTTTACCGAAGGTGATCGACCACTTTGCCTTTATTCACTTGAGATTTCCCACTGAGCGACTGCAACTGTTTGAATTACATTCTGTATCCACAACTCCGTTTCTACCCCCGTTTGAACAGCTGTTGTATATTCTTCTTCTTGCAATCCATACATACCCTAAATACTCACACATTATGGTCACCCGCGTCTATGAATTTGTTTAAAAATCCAATCATAACGACATGGACGTACACCCTGTGGCTAGTGGCAATGGCGCTATAGCTGGACCTTCGTCAGGCACCCTTCCTACGGGAGTCTCTGCTAGCGGTGCTGGCACCGGTTGTGATCAGCAAGAGGAGAAACCCTCGTTATTCTCGTCAGATGAAAACTGGGATTCGGAAAGGAAACTAGTGACCGCTTTATCGATGTTGCAACAAATGGAAGCTAAGGTCTGTAATCCTTTTCCGACAATCCATCCGTTAAACATCTCTATTCGTATGATATTTGTGTGCTTGTTTCAGGCCTATTTGAAGGAGATATCAGAAACTGGGAGCCAAAATGCGTACTAACACTCCTCAGATCCACGCTCTTCGAACCCTTGTCCCGACCCGCTTGCTCTCCCCCTTAATACCTATTGCGAATCCCGATTCACGAACGCCAATACCGAAATCTCCGCTAGATATGTTTGAGGAGCTCTCCCGAACGGCTCGCAATGGAGTGGCTGAAGTGGAGAACTTCAGGTCTGAATGGCAGAACCCGGATATGAAGGCCATCTGGGATCGAATAGACCTGAAGCTAGTTGAAAGCGGAGGTGACTACCCGCCAACGACAGGGATGTGGGATCGGGACTATGAGAATATCTTGAAAAATCTGGATAGGGAAGAGACTATGGAGAAGGAGCAGAAGAGGCGGCTGGAGGAAGAGGAGGAAAAGGTCAGAGCGGCGTCTAGTGAAAGTGGATGGAAAGACGTCATTGAGGAGTACAAGAAAAGTGATATTCCGATATCCATTAACGTTCCGCGACTTGCCGATAATGTTGGTCGCTTCTCCGTCACGATCAAGAAAATTTCATTGCAATTTTGTATCCTTCAAGGACCGTGCTACGATAGCAAGAGCCCCAGGGAATGGCAAGTGATGATCGTACCTCGAGGGAACGCAACCAAGATGGAAACGGAGATATTGGACTGTATCAAATTGAGAGACAGGAAATGGGACCTCCGGTATCTTCTGGTAAGTGTTCCCATACCTCTATCTTCTTTTGCTTGATTTAAGACTAGCTATTTTAATTCCCAGAATTCAGGCTAAATATAACTCTACTTATGTTAGGATATGCTCTGCTCCTATACGGACGTCAAAAGAACAAGGTGCATAAGCTGCAACCAACTAACTGATATCAACGCTCAACTGCCAACATTCCGAAAACCATCGCTGATCAAATCAACCAACAACAAAACAAACATCATCTGGAACTCATATCATCCAGGTTGTCTCTAATTCACAAAAGCACGTCTCCCATATTCTTTCCACATGACTCAGTTCCTTCTCCCAACCTTTCCAACTTTCCATCAAGCAAAAGGCACCATCACGGCTCGTCAAGCAAGTACTCCAAGCCATCGACATCCCTAAAACTCCACGGAGTCTTTTTTAAGATGCCCTTCCGGATCATCGAAATTACGATACCTAACGCCCCCCCCACGTCCGCGCATTCGAAGCCCCAAACCTCCTCGTTCTAAAGTCATATCTCTTTTCCGGGTCCCTTCGCGCCAATACAGCAAGCACCCACAAGGGAAGCGGCATGGTATCCGCAACGTTCCCCCCTGGTTCCACTCACTCGTCTCCCCCCCCCCCCCCCTACCAGTTCACACTGGTGGGTTTCTCCCATAGACTGTTGGGGTTGTAGGGGAGGGTGCCAATGGTTATGTCTGGGCCTTTGTTGGAGAGGACTTCCTCGTACCGGCGGCCAGGTGGCCATCGTGCTGGGTTGCCGGGTTGGGGGTCTCTGGGCCAGATCCAGGCTAGGGTTTGTTATCTTGAGTGGAGTGGGTTTTGCTGCGGGTGGTTGTGTGGGTGTTTCATTTTTTCAGTTGCTTTGTTGTGGAAACACGGGTGATTGGGGAGGTTGTATCTCTACTTTTTGTATTTTAGACGTCTTTGTGTTGTTCTTTGGTATCCATTTATTTTTATTTATTTTTCTTTTTAGGCTTTGGGTTCGATAGGGATAGAGACACCTCTCTGCTCTTCCTTTCTCTGTTTTTCTTACTGAGGGAACGCCCCTTTAATAGAGAGAGGAGTCATTCGCAGTCTTATCAATTTGTTTGCTCGGAGAGCTGGCATTGGTGCTATAGCACGGATTTGCTATATCATAGATTTGAGGATGATAACATGTGTTGTCCTTCATTCTGTGTTTAACATCGAAGCCTCAAGTGTGAAGTTCGACAAACAGGGGTAAATTGTGTAAGCGAAATATCTTCATGCTCTTCGCCAGAGTGAGAGAAGAACTGAATTTCTTGCTGATTTTCAAAGTCCTAAGTGAAAATGCAAGTATAAGAAAGAAGACGGACTTTAGAAACAAAGGATGAATTATCAATTAAACAGACGAATAAATATCATAAAATACAATCATAAAAGAGAGGAAAACTGTATGACACAAGAAGGAAAATAAATGGGAAAACCAAAGCACCTGCCTTCATGCCGCACATTTTCTGCATTCTTGATAAAGAACCAAAATATCCATGCTAAGCTCCAATAACGAAATGAAAACAAAAATCATATTCGCACAAAGGCAGTACACTCTCAAAAATAGCAATGCCCAGTACAAATCACATCATCGTAAGGGAAAAACTAAGGGAAACAGTATATCGACAGCAGGAATGAAACTGAGAACATGGGAACACGGGAACAAGACACCAATAGATGAGATACAGCAATATCTATATGCCTGAAAGGGTTAATGTTGATTAAAGCTTTACTATTGAAAAATTTGGGATGACAGAGATGGGAGATGATGTAAATAGAAGGATGAGACAAGAAGAGATCTGTAAGTTTTCCAAGACAAGCGAAGAGATGGAGAACAGAGAGAAAGCATCAAGGCTAGGCCAGCAACCCAATACCCGTAACGAACCACGTAAACGACAGAACTGTAATCATGGCCATGCCAAACATAAACTTCAGAGCTTGACGGTCCATGTCTGACATGGCTGCGTTGCAAGTGGAACACACGGAATCTAGAAGATGTTGGGGACCTGTTAGCAAGCAAGCAAGCAATCGATGCAACCGAAGTTATACGTGTGTTCAAACAACTAAACTACCAAGGGATTGGGAATTGAGCACATACCAGTCTGTGGAGAATACATTCCGAAGGAAAACTGGTTAAAGAAGGTTAGAAGGCCAGGCCGAGGTGGGTCTGTTGGACTCTTGGACATGTCATAGACGAGAAGCGTGTATTTTTCGGTTAATAGAGGCACGTCTTGTGTATTGTAGATACTCGTGTCCCAGCTAACCTCTGCGGTTGGGTCAACAGTCATATTCGAAGTGATTGTGTATGTGTGAGAATTTTTGCTGCAAAAGGCAGCCACTATAAGCGCAGACGGTGTGATAATTAGAGACGTGTAATTCCACTTAAATGTCGCCGTGGTTCCGATTTTGATATAAGTTGGCCCATCAGTTATTGCTGGTTGAACCACCATAATACCGCCTGGGGGTGCATCGAAGGGGATATCTGTGGTTTTAGGCTCTGAGGTTGTTTCCGTATTGGTATCGGTTTCTGTGGACCCGGTGGTTCTTCTATCGCTATTGTCACCAGTGGTGCTTTCTGTTGAATCCGCAGTTCTTGTTGGTGCATCGGTGATGGTAGAATCCTCTGTTCTTGTTGGCTCATTCGATGCAGTGTTTTCTGGGAGCCATTAGAACGGCCTGACTTCTAACGATGGGAGACAGGATTTAAAACTCACCTCCATCTTGCCGTCGTGCAAAAGCAACTGGATGTAGTACGTCGATAGGGTCATTCCCGAACGAGGGTCTCACATACAAAATTAACAAAAGCAATGAACAAACGAGGAAGACATGGCTGAATGGCCGCATGTTGAACGAACGACTCCGATTCCTTCTGGAGTGGAGAATTCCACTTCAACAGTGCAGATCAAAAAAAAAAAAAATATGACCCACACAGCCTTTCCAATCCCCCAAATAACATCCAAAAGGCAAAGTGCGAAATTCTGGATTTTCCGAAACAAAAGATATACGCTATCCCAGGAAGAAGTTATAAACTGTTATCCCTCTTAAGGAGAACGATATCGACCCCTTCTGGAACCTGACAGATCAGGAATTCAAATTCCCCACAATATCCTTCCTTAAAACCAAAAAGAGATCCGTTTCAAAACTCAACGGCCGGGCTTCGACTTAAATCCCAGGCTAAAACTTGTGGTGGACGTGTGCGTTTGATTATTGTGGAAATGTCGTCTTTGGTGGAGTTTTAGTGAGACCCGATAGCCGAAGGAGGAGTTGGTAAGGGATGGTAATAATAAAAGTCTTCCAAAATTCTTCCAAAGAGAGAAAGAAGAAAAACTCCTGGGAAACGATGAAGCGAAGGTTGTTGCAATGCTAAAAACAGCCGCCTCGAAAGGAAGTATCCAATGGCCCACTTGAAGGGAGAAGAGGGTGACAAAGAGGCGGTTGAAGAGAAGGAAGATAGCGATCGACGGCGATATCAAACAGTAACAGAGAAAGGGAGGGAGAGAAAGAAATGAGACAGCAGCGATGCCTGTGATGATGACAGCGAAGTTGGGAAGAAGAGCAGATGAAAATGAAGAAGATGAGGAATTGTTGTTGTTGGTTGATGATCAGGACAAGGCCCAAATGTCTTGAAACAGAAAACACGTGACTCTCAGGCAAGACACACTAAACAAAAGGCTAAATAAACTAGGGCATTTCGGGGGCCTCAAAGCTGCATCGCCTCAAATCTCATCGCTCTCTTGTCTGTCAAACAAATCCTGTAGGACGGGAGTAACAGTGACATTCCCTCCATTTTCATCACTGCCAAGCTGTGTGGAGTTGAAATACAAGCTGCTGAAGCCTCAGATTTACATGCATCTTTGTTGTGTACTTCTTAAAGCATCCAGTATTTTCCCCTGATCTTAGATGAAGATTCATTGGTCTGTTGGCTCTTTGGTCCCATGGACATCTTATTCTAACTTCAAAATCAAGATTTATTAACCCGGCCAATTATACTGTCCATCTCGTTCCAACCTTTGTTAGAAGCTCTCGCTAGCTAGCAGTTGCTCAGCCAGCTAAATGGGCGCTTGACTTGACACTGCTCGCTATGAACAGAAATCAAAATTCCACATACTTAAATTCGGGTTTCCTAGTTATCCCGTCGTTGTTGGTTGAGATCTATGAGCATTTCGCCAACGTTACAGCGTTTTCAGGTCGGATTGGTTGAGTAACATTTTTTTGCGGGATTTACGGGATGGAGTGTACATGTTTTTTTAAGTACCCCCCCCCCACGTTTGCAGTATAGGAGATTGGGTTTTCGCCTCGAGTCAATGTGAATCAACGACATGACAGAGACAGATTGCCTTCTGCTCTTCCCCTTATTTACTTTATATACAGTAATATTAATGCTCAACACTCAACGCTCTGACAGCTAACAAATAACCTAAAAATGAGCCTCTCAAACAACACCCTCTCCGTCTTTTACGCATTCGAGTTCACCAATCCAGCGCGAGTGATAATCAGAACACCAGTAGCGCAACAAAGAATATCAAGGTCTGACAGCTACCTCTAACGCATATACCGGGTTTACGCGATACTTTCCATTTTCAGTTTGATTTTCGTGCAGGTCGATGGAAGCATGGAATAGTTCTTGTCGATGAATAACTGAGGCTGGTTATGCCACCATTGGCAATCTGTACACGTTACATCAGTCAATCGAAGATCCATAAGTAATACTAACGAAAATGGGGTCAGGATTACCAATCCATACATCGAAGGGATAATCTTTACATTTCAAATATCCGTCTTGAAACGAAAAAACCTCCTATCCTGGGTGCAGGAATGACAGCCGCGTTGCTCCATCCTGAACAGGATTTATCTCGGATTAACGTTCTACCTGTGTTCAAACAAATAAGGATGGGGGCAAGAAGGGGGAAAGCAAGGCAAAATGTTGAAATATACTCTGATTTGGCATTATAAAAACACCCAAACCCCAGGCATCCTTCCCATCGAGTATGAATCGTTGTGACTCCGAATCATAGCCGTACCAGCTCTCCACAGCCTTTGACTGCCGTGAACGAAAACCAAACCATAAAACATTCCAACAATCCACGCCAGCCACGTACAAGTTGTTGAATGTTGGGTGAAGATAGGTTCCGGCCTCCAGGTAGTAGAACGGCTTATGGGGCGTGGGCTTGCCATTGGCTGGTTGTGTAGATTCGCTCTACCGAAACGTCAGGACTCAAATTTCAACGGGATGCAGCAATTGCCTGCCCGGCGGTGTGGCCGAGGAGCAAGGTGAGGATAAGAGAACGTATATTCTTATTACGACGCTTATTGCCTGGTTATTAGGTCCATTTTTCACTGAAATATGCGATCACAATTCGAAAGCTTCTCTATAGATTTTAAATGGATGAAGATTGAGAAATACATGGGAAAATCCAAGGGGAATAAATACCCCCAAGGTCCAGAATTTTTACCACGCCTGGCCCCTCCTCCCATGCCAAAAGGCCATTTCTATGTCTCCTACCTCCCCAACCCTCCTGAGTCGAATTCTCTTGGGTTCAAAAGATTTTTTTTCCCCCTCCTTCCCCAGGCCTTTCTGCCATGAAAAGACTAGGCTTTCCTCTCATTCGGATGTGGCGGCAAAAATGATCATTAACAGCTATACGGATGCAACGAAAATCGCTGGAACCACCGCCCCAGGTACCCAGGTACGTTTTTGAATGACCGATACGTTCTCCGAGGATGGGTCAGAGTCGGTTTTCTGCTCAGAGTATGATTTGTCAACTCCCTAAACTCTACTTGTTATTGCAATTACCTGGACGCATAGCCCTTGAAGCCTTTGGATTGCGGTTAAACTAAGTTTGGAGGCGGAGAGGTACCAGGAGTTTAGCGCCAGTTAACTTTTGGGCAGAAGCCCCGAGTTCCACTCGGCCCAAGAGCTCCACTCGCAGGGAGCAAAGGGCCACTGGAGGAACGGGCATTATATATCACGTGATCACAATAGATATCTCCGGAGGCCGGATGCAGTTCGGGATATTAGGTGAGGTCGGCAAGCTGGAGTTGGCAAGGAATCCAATATTGAAAGAAATATTGTATTCAAGAACAACAAGGCAGTATCCTCTTGAGAGAATAGAAACAAGCCTTAAAACATTATCATCTTACTTGAACCATAAGGAATCCTTAGGGACTAGTAGCCAGTCACGGAATCTATCCAACACTTATATAAGCCCAATTGGAGACCGAAATGCCATGGCAAGGCTTTATGCTATTCCCAACGTTCGTTTTGCCTTTCGGATGCGGTCCTTAATGCCTGCTGTCGTGTCTTCTATATGCATATGTGGAAACAAAGACTCTACAATGGTGGCAAATTCAATTGTCCACGAACAGCAAAGATTTCTTCGGACAGGTTTTCAACTAGATATATGAGATCTTCCAAGTTTCCCTTTTCCCTGCGAAGCATGGATATATAATGAGGCAAGCTTGCTGCTAGTGATGCTAAATATCAAGGATAGGAAGTGATATCTTCCCCCGGCGTGTCTGGACCCTTCTGTCATGTATCAGGCATCAATTCCTTTCCCCTAGGATTAACCCAACGTTTTAGCCCCCAAATACATCAGAATCCTAGGTTTACTTTCTTATTAACTGGGATTGACGCGTCTAGACGATTCATTCTTCACTACCTGAAAATCCATCCACGCCGTTCAAGCCTGGCACTACATGAGCTTGGAGCGCCTGATGACGCCTTTTTGAACCCCTAAGTAGGCGCAATGCTCACCAAGCTACTCCGTACAGCGTCAAGTTTTACAATGTTTTAGATGATGTTTGTCCTAAGCGCGAGTACCAACTCATTACGATCGAAAAAGGCCCAGAGTTGGATTTCAGCCAAAAAAAGGCGGAAGCGTTTGGAAAATAAGGCGAATTTGTCTTTGTGTAGTTCTTGCTTTCGCATAAGAGAATCTGCTACCATTCAAGAGATTCTGCTTGCTGGTTGCATGGCAGTATGAAAAATGTCTCTTATATTCAGCACTAGCTCGACGGTGTTGCAGAGGGTATATGAAACTGTGGTAGCAGTAGAGGGGAAAGGGGAGAACATAAGGGGCTGGTTGTTCCGGGGTCTGCAGCCTTCTGGAATCTAGCGGAACTCCTACTGGGAGTTCTCTGAGAGGAATTCAGAACCTCGGGCGATCCGTAACTCCGGTTATTCAACGCCACGAGAGAGAAGTCAACATATCACCTGTATGTGGTAGAGAATAGAAAAAAAGAAACGTATTAGGGACGTGTCGGACCGGTCCTTGCACCGTAATACTTCGGTGCTGATATTCCAACCGGGCAACAGCAGATATCTGCCTGTTCAGGTATTTTGATTAGTTTAGGTTTTTCGCGAGCTGCATCACCATCACTCGGCAAGGTGTCACCTGGCAAACCCAAGAACCGTCAATATAATCGGGTTTGGAGCCTTGCGGTTACTGCTGCCATTGGATGAGGGGGACATGGATGGCCTGACAGGCCTGCCACAGCAGGATCAGGCTCCATGCCAGGAGGAGCAAAAATGGTCGGGTCCCGGGTAAAAGAGATATTGAATACTGAACATTTTATCATATTGTCAGGGTGCTGTTAGTGAGGCGGGGGGGGAAAAGGTTTAAGGCTAATAAATAAGGTTAAGGTTAGTTATAGGTTAGGGTTAGTTAAGGATAAGGGTCTGGAATAAGATAAAATCCACTTGCCATCAAGGAGCATAGAGATGTGTGTGAGATATGTGTGTAATGTAGTTTGAATTGGGGTTGTTCATAAACCACGTTCAACTGAAGTGCTGGGCCCACTGCTCCTTCAGCCCCCGCGCACTTAGGTTGAGAAGCCTGGAGATTCCGAACGGTAGGTTGTCATTTCGATATATATTTATTATGGAATTGCGAAATACTGCTGATAGCCATAACTACCTCCCCGGAACACTGTACCACTAATTAACTATTTGCGGTTAAATGAAGCCGGATCATATTTGACTGGGTAAAATCGGGTCAAAAGAAGTTCGAAGGGAATGGCATGACTTTACATCAACTGATATGCGCTGGGCATGTACAAAGGAAGTTAGCTTCAGTAGAATGCACCCCCTGTACGCGGGAAATGCCGGTCGGTTTCCTTTTCCTGCAATATACAAAACCCTGATTTATCATCATGATCATTGTGACAATCATCTACACCTATCTAAACACGAGGTGGCAGGATTGAGTCAAAGGTATGATATTATCCAAAATGGCAGAACCCAGGGCACCAAGAAGAGATATTAGGACGAGAATATAAAAATTATAAAAAAATAAAAAATAAAAATAAAAATAAAATAAAAGAAGGGTGGGGAAGAGGAAACCTCGAAGGGCCCAGCCACGTATCCCTGGTAGAGTTTCAAAATTGGCCCTCCCAATCCAACAATCCTCCAATGGGAGATACCGAGGACAAAGAAAAATCCCTCACGCAGCATACTCCGGACGAAGCACCCATTTCCCCCTTGCCCGCCCCCCCGTCTTCTCCAAAACAGCAATAGTCCGCAACATCTCCTTGAACTCCATCGTAGCCCGCGGCGAGTCGCAGAACCGATTAAAATGATCAATGAGGTTCTGCGTATGCACAGATCCGCCATGCGCCAGGATATAATCACGGATCATTTTTAGAAAGTCCTTGCCTCGCTGAGTAGCAAGCGCAGGAGTCCCTGATCGTGGGGTGCTGGTACAGGATACATTGCTACTACTGCCGCTGCCGCTGCCGACTGTAAGTGTACGGCTTGTGAGGTTAGCAAGGAGGCTGGCGGAGGATGGACCCCCTGTGGCTCGACGGATGGTGCTGCCTCCACCCCCAAATGAATGAGAGGATGTGGCCGTCTCACGTCGCTGCAGAGTACTTTCCGGCCTACCTGCAACCCCAAACTGGCCTGTCCATGTCGGCATGCCCACAGGGATAGATTTTGCAAGTTCGCCAGCCTTGAGAAGTTCCTTGGCAGCTTCGGCAGCTACCTTTTTGGCTTCCGCCTCGATAATTTTAGGGTCTGCTTTTACAATGCGTTTACCATTGACGATCTGCTCGTGTTCAAGCGCGGAGTGAACGCCGGAACGGGCGAAGATGCCTTCCATTAACCGAGCTTCTGAGTTTGGAGCTGCTGTGCTCTTCGTCTCGGACGCGGTAGGCGTCTCAGATGGACATTGGAAGGGTTCAAGAGCAGCGACGCCCGTGACGTGACTGATCTTATTTTGTTCTTCTTGATCTGCCACTGTACTTTCACCGGCTGCGGGATTATCCGTTGTTCCATGCTTCGCCGATTCTTGAAACTTCACCTCAGCCTCTTTGAATAACTCACTTGTTTCTGTTGGACCGTCGTTCCCAAGGGTAAATAAATCGTGCAAATCACTCATTTGGAAAGTTTGGCGCTGCTTTGGATCCCTCAGAATCTTATTGGTTAAGAACTGCTTGAATATTTGGCGGTGGTATATTTTCTCCTCAATGGTTCCCGCTGTCATAAGTCTATAAATAGTTACCTCCCGCTTCTGACCCAATCTCCACGCTCTCTCGCGAGCTTGAACATCCGTTGAAGGGTTCCAATCTGGGTCATAAATGATAACACGGTCCGCACCCGTTAAATTGACACCCAGACCACCAACTTTAGTAGTTAGAAGGAAAATATGGATTTCTGGGTTATTATTAAACTCATCAACCAAACTTTGACGGAGTTTAATTGGAGTATTCCCGTCCATCCTTTGATATTTGAACCCTGTCATCGATTTGATGAACCGTTCAAGAATATCCAGCATAATTCGATGCTGAGCAAAAAGGAGAGATTTATGACCCGTCTCCTTCCATAATTCCAGAAGGGCCTTAACGACTTGCATTTTCCCAGACTTGGCCGCGCTTCCGTAATTGTATCCTGGTTTCGTAGAGAGCGTCTTGTGTTCTGGAAGATCCGGGTGGTTGCAAATTTTGCGAAGCATGTCGATGCCATATAATGCTTCCCGACGACCCCTGAGGATCGATGACATCTCATTAGATCCCAAAAACGCCTGGTAAGCGGATCTCTGTATCTTCGTGAGTTTACAGAAGAGAACCTGTTCGCTCTTCTTAGGAAGGTCCGCAGCAACATCGATTTTAAATCGCTGAAGAAGGTAAGGACTGATGGCATCTTTCAGCGTCTCTGCACACTTGGCAGCGGTTTGAACCTGTAGATTTGACGCATTCGCGTAGCCCCCCTGACGGATTGGGAATTCAAACTGGTTGCGAAAATTGACTAAGGTCCCCAGTCTCATGGGGAATACAAAGTCAAATAGCGACCAAAGTTCGGTCAGATTGTTTTGCATGGGGGTTCCGGAGAGGATCAGACGGTGTGCAGTTCGTAATTCTTTGCAGTGGATTGTAATTGCTGTATCTGGATTTCGGATCTTGTGTCCTTCGTCCAGGATGGAACAGCCCCAGTCAACTGGAATTAACAAGGACGAGTAAGTTTGCAGGCCAGAGTAAGTGGTCACTAGTACATGGCCTTTGGCTAGGACTCGATCTAAAATCTTTTTGGCGGCCTTTTGCTCCTTTGTGGCTCTGCGTGGTTGGTCAGGGTCCCATATCTGTGATTCCAGCCGGGCATCTGCATAGCTCTCGCTTCGTAGGTTTATCATCCCACTCCCCGAAGTGTGTAAAATGGAAACTCGGAATGGAGCCCACCAGCGATGGAATTCATTTACCCACTGTTTCATGACAGTCGGAGGACAAACGACAATTATAGGTTTGGTCAATTTCTTGCTATAGTGTAACCCAGCCAGGAAGGCGATGACCTGGATAGTTTTGCCAAGACCCATCTCGTCACCTATTATACCCCCTACTTTTTGTTGGTAGAGTTCCCAGAGCCATTGAACACCTGTCTTTTGGTAGTCAAATAAGTAAGGGTAGATATCTCCAGGGACACGATAACCACCATTGAGTTCTGTATCGGGGACCTTGGGATGAGGTAGAAACCATTCCTCTTCATCATTTTCTTCTGCAGGAGCAACAATCTCCCCAGTGACTCCCGCATCGTTATCATTCTGGCTTCGTTTGCGCGCAGCTGACCTCCTATACACCCAATCTTCCAGTCGAGATTGATAGACCCTCTCATCACCATCATCCACGCCCTTGAAGACCTCCACAACTGCATTGCCGCTCTTCTTATCAATTTTCTTACGCCGTTTCTTTCTTAACTTCCCTTGAGATGAATCAGAGGCAAAGTTCGATTCACCTGATGAGCTTTCTTCTTCAGAAGGGACAAATGCACCGGAGTCAATGTAATCCGCATCGGATGCAGGCGTTGACAGTTTAGATGGCGAAGGGTGAGTTGCACTCGACCCACTTCGGACCTGGCCCCCAGTGGACAGACGGGAATGGGATTCCACCTTCCGGCGTTTGTGCGGGCGCGAGACAGACGTCTCAACGGAATCACTGGCACTCGCCTCATCATAATCAAAGCCGGGAAGAAGTAGATGGCGATGAGATGGTTCAGGACGCGACGCAGATTCCTGAAGCGCCAATTCCTCCTCTCGCTCCTCTTCCGCATCGATCAATGCAACCTGTAATGTTGTCGCTGTGGATCCACAAGTAGTTCCCGCTCCCAACTTCGAGAAGGGCGTAATTTTGCCAGTCCGTATCAGGTAATCCCTTCGCGACTCGTTTGGTAGCCTCCCTGACCTGGACGTTTGGACAGCCTCCTCGACTCCTTGGTGCCTCTCATCGATACGTTGCTGAATCTGGGCGAGGTCGACATCGAGAGTCGACATTCGCGACTCCAGATTCTGTATCTCTGCTTCTATCCGGACGCGAGCTGCCGTGCCTACAGGTTGGGAAAGCCTTTGGTGCAATCTCAAGATCTGCGATTCAAGCTTCCTAGAAGGTAGGAAAATCGTCAGTTGTGGTTCCCTCAGTTTTGGGACAGAGCAGAGTGGGTGGATTTATTTCTCATACGATTTCTCTACTATTGTACGTTCCAGTCGTCTATGGTCTCTTTCATCAGCTTGCTCAAGAAGGAGTTTGTCGGCCTAGTTCAATATTCCCCACAGGTAAGAACGACGAATCTGATAGATAGAGAATTTGATAGATGTTAGGTAACATGAAGAGAGTACGCACCTGGAGGCCAATATCTCTTTCCAGGTCATCTTGACCTCGTACAGTAGCTTGTAACTCTCGCAATCGACTTGATTCCGTGTCTGCTACGGCAGCTGATTGCGAAGTAGCAGGGATGTGCTGTTCTGATGCATCCTTCTGTACATCATTCTGACCAGTTGACTCCTCTGCTGTGGCCTGATCCACTTCCGAAGTCTCTGCATTCTGATTTCCATCCATTCTTATGATATCCGTCCACCTCCCTCAAATGTGAGAGGATAGGCTATGAGTTCAGGGGCTTAGCCCGAGAAGGCATCTGTACAATACTTGGCGAAGATTCAGAAATGAAACGGGGGTTGATTTCTCAGCCATAGAGACCAGCTAGTTGAGCAAGGCCAACAATAGGGTATATTACCAAGGCAATAGCTATGAATACTTCGAAGGAGAAAGTGACGATATATCAAAGCAC